TGGAACAACATCAAAACAAACACACAGACCACACTGGGACGTAACACTGTTCTGAAGTGCTGAAACTGTTCGTTTAAGACATGCATGACAAATGATAAAACCGGCACTAACCACACACTGCAACCAGACAATATAGAAGCATATCTGAGTAAAGGTAGTCCTGTTTCATGGGAAAAATCACCAGGCCTCTTTGAAGAAGAACCAGTGAATGTCCACTGGTTCCATTTAATCAGTGACAAGATAATTCAATTCAAGCTTGCCACATTGCAATCTGAAAAGAAAGCAGTCTATACTAAGTGACTTTGCTGACACTCTGTTCATCTGAATTAAGCAGAATTCCACCTTCTGGCCTTTAACATTGTAACAACTGTTTATCCAGAGCTTCTGGCCTTTGTGGTCCCTTCTTAGTCAGTCCTCACTTACAGCAGGGCACGAAAACAATGTTAGAATGGTGAAACAAGTGAGGCAGTTCAACACATCTAACCTGTTAGATAATAGCTAATTAATCTATTGATCACAACCAGCTGTTTCTTGGTTAAGGTTGTTTGTTCCATACTTCTATAAACCAGAAGAAGTGCCCTTTGTTCTTGTTTTTAAGTGCACTTACACAAAGTTTCCCCTTCTGTCCTCTGGTTTATATTTCAGTGCTGATTCTGTAGATATCATTTAGTTTTATTTGTGGTGATTTTGAGTAGTTAAATCAGGTCATCTTGCTGGCTTCTCTGTTCAAGACTAAAAGGGTTCTGGTCCTTCACCATGTCTTTGTAGAACATTCTTTTTTTCTCTGGAATATTTCTGGTTGCTGATTTCTGCAATGATTCCAGTGGAACAATATTTTTTATGAAGTGGTGAACAAAATTGTAAATCATACTCTAATGAAGGTCTTGCTAGTATATTTTAAAAACATCCAGTGACATTCAATGATTTAAGTTTTTTTATTTTGGTTGTATTGCTTACACCACATTGTCTAGAAGATCTGAATAAATTTAAAGTATACACCTAAGTCCATTTCAAGTGGCCTCTTGATGCTCTGCATTTTTTTCTGATCTTGTGTCTATGGTTTGTCTTTGCAAAATGCTTGTAATACTCTGCACTTGTCAGGATTAAAAGGCCCAGTCTTGAATTTTATTTTAATCTTTTTTAATTTAATTTGCTGCTTCAGTAGTGCTCGATAAACCTCCTGTTCTGGTATTATCTGTAAACATGTCTAGTTTACAAATTTAGAACATTAGATCATTGATATAATTTAAGAAGAGTTATAGTCCTAGTATTGATCCCTGTGGTACTCCACTCATTACTTATCACCCCAATCTAAACATTCACACCTTATCTTTGCTCAGTTTTCTATTATTCAATCCTCTGTCCAAACATGTATCCCTGAAGCCAGCAATTTGAAAATTAATATTTTATGATGAACTCTATGAAAAGCCTTCTGAACATCTAAATATATTATATCATATGCTGTTTGTTACTTTCATCTGTTCCTTTGCTCTAATAGGTTATTTAACCAAAACCTCCCTTTTTAAAAGCCATGTTGACTCTGCCTAGGATCCTGTTTGCATATAGGTGATCCCTGTCAGTTGCCGTTTTATCAGTGGAGTTTTCCAGTTACCTACAGTTCATAGAGTAGTATTTCTTGAATTATATATATATATTGTTTTTTTGCCATAAAAGAGTATGATGATTATTCTTACAATCTTATAATAATGTTATGAGTGTAAAAGTATTTATGGTGAGTTTTAATGGTTGGGGACTTTTTTTTTTCCTGTAAGACCTGTGCAATTCTATGAATTGAAAGATGGGTACATATGTTTGTGGAAACAATTAAAAAATAAAAAAAATATTTAATTATATCTTGGAAATGTCTGGGGTAATTCTCACGATGTTATTATTCTTAATCATAACAGAAGAACATTAATGCAAATGCATTAGGTAAATTGCAGATAGTAGCCTTCTTCAGCATCCTAACCTCTCATAAAATCACGCACGGTCTTTGTGCTGACCTCTAATTCATTCTAAATGTTTATATGTACTACTGCAAACTTATACCAGACTCCATATGTCTAACCATTTGGGGGTTCTTTGTGTTGTTTTTTTTGTTGTTGTCATTTTAAGTTAATTGTATCTGCTGCATATTTGTTGTTATTATTGCTGATTATTTGTAATGAGTTAAATTATCCAGCCAGTGTTTTCAGCTTTTTTCATAGTCTATGCAATTTGCAATATTTCAACTTACCCTTCAGTGAATGGCAACAAAACTTTTTTAAAAAATTGAATGGTACAAAACACATGGGCATGAATAGGCACAACAGTTAATCGGAATACGGACATCACAGTGGTGTACTCACATTTTTTTAAATTTCTCTGCATCAGTGATTTATTGTATACTTTACTTAATGGATGTGACAGCTTCATAGGTGACTCCAGAGCAGCCTTACTTTGCCTTCAAATACTTGAATCCATGGCGGTAGAAATGTTTTACAGCGGTGGCATTCATGAACAAAAGACAAATTCCACTTTTACCCTCAAGCAGCTTTATATTGAGTATACTCTACCTGTCTGCAAGGATCAGTCAATTCGTACATCAGACAACTTTATCTTTGGCAGTGGTCTGCACTGAGCTTGTCTGAGTGTGTAGCCCAGGGGGGACTGGGGTGACTGTCCAGCAGGTCACATACAGTAAGTCTTCTTCTTCTGCACAATCTACCACTTCAGCAGGTCATTCTTTAATTATTAAATTAATAAATACACTGGAATTAGATAATGAGCACTGGAATAATTAAATCCCTGTATCTTCCATACTTGGTTATAGAATAACAAAATAAAGGTTTAATAGATTCTTTTTTTTGTTGTAAATAATGGCTAGGAAGTGTTGCTATAGAAACTTGTGGTCTGTGGCTGTGTAGGCCTGGGACTGGCAACAACTTTCCTTGACATCTGAGAAAAGAATGTGATTCAGAAAATATAGAAAACTGCTTCTTTCACAATTGAAGCAAGCAGAGGGGATTCCTTCCCACTTGTCTGAAAAGGTTTAAAGAAGTTTTGTGTAGCAGTCAAGCACATGGTCAACATGTCTCATATTGTACAAAGGGGAGAGCACTTGACATTGATGCTGTCATGTCAGGTTTAGCTGGTAGATTGTAATTCACTTTCACTCTGCTCCACTGAAAAATGGTTCCTGCTAACATGGGAAAGGGGCATTTGCTTTCACTGTAAGCTGGCTTTTTACACTGACTGCTAGCCGGCTGAATTGTAATGGCAAGGATAGGAAAGTAAATGAATATTTGCATCATTTTTTTTTTTACTGGCAATAAAGTTGCACAATTAGGGTAATTAGTATCCTGCATGGGTTGGTTGGATGATGGATCGCAATCAAGATTATGTTGACTCTCTTCCAAAGTGATATATTGGCTAATTTAGTATCTCTAAAAATGTGCTGTGACAGCTGTAGTGGCCTCATGGTCCATCTTGTAGCATCTGTTCTCTCAATTTTCAGATTCTGAACATAGTTAATGCTCTTTATTTGCATTTACCTTTCCAAATATTGACATTGAATCCTAATAATGGCTTCCTCATTTGTCTTATGTATCCTTACTGCCACAATGGATGAAAAGATGAACTGTGTTGCAAGAACTTGTATTGAACCTGTCCTGTTAACGACTCGGTTAACTGTTTTTAATAGCTTGATATAAATACAAAAGTAATTTGGCATGAACTTACTCATGCTTTTTTCACAGTTTTATGGTTACCTATTCTGAAAATGCAAATTAGCAAGAAGGGCTTAATTCAAATGTTGAAATTAATTTCCTATTTTAAACACTGTGATATTAAGTTCTAAAGCCACATGTATATACCGTATGACATGGTAATGTGTTTTCACATGCAGAAAACATTCTTGTTTTTTGTCAGTTTGCCTGGTAGTATGAATGGTCTATCTTCAACTAATGGCATGTTGTTTTGTCCACACATTTCCTAGAGTACAGGGTGAGAAAATAAAGGATTTATAAATGCCATATATTATAAGCCAATCATTAACATTGTAGCAGTTCGTTTTCAGTGGCCTTCAGTGGTTTGTTTTCCTCATGGCATTGTTTTCAGTGCTAGTGATACATTTTGAAGCTTTAAATTTCCCCTTATAAATCTAAAACTTGGGTTATTTTCACTGAAAGCAAGGGAACGTTGTGGATATCAGAACATTTCTAACTGATGTATAACTTTAAGTGTACTTTGAACTTGGATTAGTTTATGAATCTTCATAGCTGTGAAGATGAAAAGTTTGAACTAAATATTTATTTGATGATTTCACAGAAAAATAATGATTACACAAAACAGAAAAGGACAGCATTATTTTATGAGCATTAGCATTTTAACTATTAATTACAGTATTGTATTTCACATTCAAAACCTAGCATTTGTGGTGTTGGTTCAAAATTTAATGTTGATACTTTAATCATTATATTTTCTTTGTGCTGTATTAAAAATCTTAACTGTAAATTGCTTTTCAACACAAATATCCACCCTCACAATTTGTTTACAGCTTTTGAATTTCTGTCCTTTATTCTTCAAATATGTTGGTCACCATGATACCCACTTAATGATTGCTGACAGTTACATTTAGTTCTTAATCTGTTTGAGTTTTGGCAAAAATAGTTGAAATATGCTCTCCTTTCAGTTTCTACTGTTTATTTTTTGTGCTGTAAATCTAAAACAGTCATGTCTTCACTAACAACTAATGAACAATCAATCATACCTCATCGCAGAGTAAGTGCCAACTAGAAATGTTTCAGATGGCATAACGTGAAATCCAATCTTTAGCTTCAATTGGCATCTGAACGGGTGAATTATTGTATTTTACTACTGTATATCAGCATTGTTTGTAACTTATTTTCAACATTGATGCTACCAGGCTGTTCTTTTTCTATTCTAATCATATTTGGTATATCTTGTAAATGTATTTAATCATTTGCTTACCATTCCCATTGATTTCTCTTCTTGTCTAGAACCAATGAGGACCCCTAAAAGTCTGAAGATTGCAGAGACCCAGGCCAGGTTCATAGCGGTGGACTGGGAGTCACTGGGCTACAATATTACACGATGCCACACGTTCAATGTCACAATTTGCTACCACTACTTCAATGGCAATAACGAGAGCAAAGCTGATTGCTTGGACATGGACCCCAAAGCTCCGCGACACATTGTTGGAAACCTTCCCCCAAACACAAATGTGAGCCTTAAAATGATCCTCACCAACCCCGAAGGCCGAAAGGAGAGTGATGAAGTGGTCATTCAAACAGATGAAGACGGTAGGCGCTTTGTGGCAGCGTTTGTGTTGTTGTTCTCATTTATACTAAGTATTAATGTTCATTTACTGTAAATTATTTTATGGTAAACGGCTATTCCAGGGAAAATAGTTGTATAAGTGTGAATATTGAGAAAATTATGTTATTTGTTGAAGATAGAATTTGACTGATAAACAGTTATTCTTTTTGCAGATATATGCTTTTTTCTTTGAATTAGCATAGTTTAATATATTAGTATATTTAATTCTGAATTTAATTTCTGTTTTAATTTCATGCCTCTATTAGCTAATCCTGAAGCCATAATCTATAAAGATGACTAGTTTGCTAACTGTTCCAGAATGTAGATCAATATAAATTAGAAAGAACAGAAATCCTAGTACAGTTCCCTGTGGTAATTCACTAATTACATCACCCCAATTTGAATATTTACTCCTTACCTGCACGCTTTTTCCTATTAACCAGTTTTCAGTCAAATCATACACAATTCTCCAAATGCCTTCTACCTGTAATTTGGGAGTTTCACATAAAAAAAATTCTGGAAATCTCAATACACCAGGTAATAGAGTCTTTCTATATCCATTACTGACGTTGTTTGGTAATATCTACCATTTCTAAATCTGTATGAACTATTCCCAGGTCAGGAATCCATGCGCTTCCTACAGTGTGAAAAGACATGTTGTAGGATTAGAATGTTACCTTATATTACACCTATATAACTCTTTTCTGGACACTCCACTCAAAGTGCTTTATAGGTAATGGGGAGCCCCTCCACCACCACCAGTGTGCAGCCCCACCTGGATGATGTGTTGGCATCCATAGTGCACCAGAATGCTCCCCACACATCAGCTATCAGTGAGGGGGAGAACTGATAGATGTAGCCAGTTTAGAGATGGGGATTATTTGGAGGCCATGATTAGTAAAGGCCGGGGGAAATTTGCCGGGGTAACACCCCTTCTCTTTTCGAGGAACACCCTGGGGTTTTTAATGGCCACAGAGAGGTCAGGGCCTCAGTTTTACATCTCATCTGGAGGATGGCACTTTTTTACAGTATAGTGTCGCCATGACTATACTGGGGCATTAGGACCCACATAGACCACAGGGTGAGCACCCCCTGCTGGCACCACTAACACCTCTTCCAGCAGCAACCTGAGTTTTTCCGAGGAGGTCTCTTATCCAGGCACTGCCCAGGCTCACACCTGCTGAGCTCCAGTGGGCTGCCAGCTGTGAGCTTCAGGGTGACATGGCTGCTGGCATGATTACAAAATTAACGGATTTAAATTTGCTGATTTGTTTTCTTATTCTCTACTCCAAACTTGTCATCTTTTTTAAATGCAAAAGGTATTTTTAAGTAACATAATAAGAACTGTCTCATTTAGTGCACACTTTAACATCATTATGCACTCTTATTGTACATAATGTGTGTAACTGTACTGTAATGGTGCAAGGATTAATAACCAGAATTTCCTTTTTTTTCTGTATTGTAATTTTTTTTAATTAAAATATTGAAGACAGTTAAAACATTCAAAATGTGAATAAAATTAATGCACACATTCCTACTATGGCATTTAATTTGATTAACGATTTGGTTTATATTAGGCTTTTGTTCACTGATCATTGCTTTCTATACTATACACAGCTTGAGCTACAAATAAATACAAATTTAAATACTTGCTAAAATACTAAAAATTTTAAGCTGCCGTTAGACTCATTTCACTTCATTTAGATCCACCAAAGGACTATATTTTCTTAATTACTCCTAGATGTCTTTTTTGAAGTTTAAAGGAAAGACCATTGCCGGGATTTCTTTTCAGGCCTGAATGATGAAAACACAAAAGCAAGTTATTGAAAGTGGTATAGAATAGATCAAAGTAAACCTTAAATTATGAAAAACCATGGTTTGGTCTCATGATTTAAGATGGATTCTTTAAATATTTGTTTTCGAAATATAATTGAGAATCATTGGAAGAGTTATTACTTGTTTCTCAATTTAATTTATTTTTATTTATTTATTTTTTAGCTACTCTCTATTTTTCCACAGTTCCTACATGACTGTGTTCTGAGTTTAGGAAGATGCTTGTTCTTTTTTTATGCCGAATTCCATTGTGGGACTTAAAATGCCACATAATGTGTTTACAGCACATACAGCAGCAATGCACTTTGGTTGCTCTCTAAGGTTAAGGACTACCCTAAAGATGAGTAGAGGACCAAAGTGTTGTACTGCTTAGGGAAGGATATTTGTGGACATAGCCTTGGTCTTTGTGTTCAGAAAACTCAAACATACTTCCTACCTTGTAACAGTCTTGTATCTTGATAGAAAGATACATCAGAACATGTGTCACACTGTCTGGCTCAAGTGTGACTGAGACCTGAAAACAAAACATAAAACAGTGCACTAACTACAAGAACTGTGTATAAATGCTGAGATGCATACTGTGAATTTCAAAACTGCATTAAGTAGAATGGCACGTATTTATGGAGTTGACAGTCTTTCCATTAGCTCATGCTACATTACTCTTGAAGTACTTCTTTTTAATCTCCCTTTCTGTAAGATACAAGCCACTTTTACTGTGGAATTAAATGTTCACTGGATTCAAGGATGTTAAAGATTCTTTGGAGAGTAATTCACAGATATTTAAACACTAGTGCTCAATATCTTATCTCCCTATTGACAACTTTCTTTCCTTATGAGTTTAGAAAAAAAGTATTTAGACGCATGCTGTGCTAACACTTTTGGAATGCTGCATCATGCAAACAGTGCTGTTTTTCATGCATCAATTTGTAACCTAGTTATTTCACTTTGATTTCACACAGCCTTTTAATGTGACTTTTTCAGGCATCTTATGAGGCAACTTTGTTTCCTCTTACCTAAATGACTATAGTCGTAGTTGTTCTGGTCTGGAGTCTGTGGGACATACATTTTATGGCTATATTGAATTCAGTATGTGTTGACCTAATGTGCCGTAGAAAGAGTCCAGATTATGAAGGAGAAGCTAACAGCAAAATGGCCCTATCATAATTTTAGCTAAATCCATTATTTAATGATTTCTTGAGCTAATTGGCTTAATCAGTCTAAATAATGAGTGATCGATTATCAAAGTTAATATAAAGTGTATGGCTCTTTACCCTGCAGTTCTAATGTGCCAAGTCATTAATTCAACCATTAAAATGTAACTTACTTGGGTGCATAAAGTATAGTTTAAAGAAGCATCATTACCCAAACATCAATTACTGTTGCATTTACAAAAAACTACTTAATTTTTTATTTATCCTAAGTCTACAAAAAAAGGCTATTTAACTTTTGTTTTTAAGTCAGACATAAAGTAAATAGCTTTTAGTGTTCATGATAGGCAATATTTACTTGTGAAGAAAGTTTGGGAAGGAAACCTAGGAAATGGAAAAAAAATATCTTTACCTACTAGTGATATCACATTTCCTTTATGATTCCAAAGACACATACAATAAGCTTTTTTTTAATATTCTGAACTAGATTGGTTTAATGCAGTTTACATTAGTTGTATGATGTGTGACAATTTAAAGACTGGTCATGATCAAGAATGCTTATTTGCTTTCAGCTGTAAAGAAAGCCAAGATAATGGATGTTGGATGTCTTTAATGTCTGAAAGAATACATTGTTTCATTGAGGAATAACTAAACTTAACTTAACACAGTAGTGATTGTCATTAAAAAATCTATTCATTGCTTTCTCAAACAGAACACTGTATTTTATGTTCTTCATTGTAACTTACAGACATTATGTACTGGCAGTTTTTTCTACCTAAAGCTTTCTGCCCAAACTGCCTGTATATAATGTTCATAAATCAGTGGAAAGCATAAAATACACTGTTCTGTTTGAGAGCAATGCATTGATTTTTTATTGTTACACAATGGTAAAAAGTCTTTATTTCAGGAGTAGTTCAAAGGAAAGTTTGGGGTGGATATATAAAATTCCAGCACTGAAAATTTCTACTGTCAATCAGTATTTGAACACGAGTTTTTGAGAACAGACAGTGTTACTTATCCATGTCACAGTGTAAAATGCATGGTAAACTAAAACCTTATTTCAGAAAATAGATCATTTAAAGGGATATAGACTCTTATTTGTTCCAGATTTTATAATTCAGGCATACTGTAGTTATCATGAAATAGGTTTCATGACATGATTTTGATTGCAAAACATCCATATAGCAAATGGGTTGAACAACATTTTTGTGCCATATAAAAGCTGTCAGAGTAAAAGACTTTATCTCTTGCCACGTACTGTCTCTATAGGAACTAAAATCCAAATGCCTTGGCCAATATAAGTTCAATTATATAACATGTAGATTGTTGTGAAGTTCAAAAAATATATTTTTTCAGATATGTATTGGTTTGCAGAAACAAATTAATGTGTCCTCAGTGCCTCTTTTGCAAGCTATAGGTGTGTGTTGGGGGAAGGAGTGCTTGTACATTTGTCTCATCATCCATGTGAGGCCCTGTAAAAAATTACTTTGACAAGATAGAGTAGTATGTCCATATCATCCTTACTGTAATAGATATATTTAACTTCTCTCACCTGTAATTTTTTAGATAGATTTATTAGATACCTATACCAAAATAATGGACAGTACATATAACTGCGGCTCTGTATGACCATGAGCCTACACAGCTTTCAAAAATATTTGTACTATTCCAAGTTATGCTTCCAATCTCAAGAGTTTTTATAATTCATAAATTCTAATGCATTATGTGCAGTACTAAGATAAATATTGTTATTCTCACAAGCTGTTTGGTGTGCTTAGATTCTGTTTACTTATTATACCAGTCATTCTTCACAATCGGGTTTATTATAAAAATTTTAAAGCAAGTAAGATCTCGGATATACCAATTCATAATGCAGTTTGTAGAGTAGATGTCATGTTGATGATTTTCTGCTCAGGTTTTAGGAAATCTCGTAATTATAGAGTTTCCAGTGAATATGTTCCAGTTTTGGCATCTGCAGAGAAAGCAAGTTATGAAGCTTGCTTTGAAAGGAAAGCTTTGTTCCTGTTGTTTTTTTCTTAAATTTCTATATTAGTTATATTTTGATATGTCTCATGTCTGAATAAATCATATACGGTATCTAGAAGAGTTGAAGGAAGAGAAGTAAACACTTCGCAGAAATCAAGATAGAACCCTTTTCCTTTTCCACTTAAAAATGTGTTTATAATGTAACGCATACGGCCACCATTGGTTGTGAGAGCCGGCTTACCAGTGCGGTGACGTCACCGCCCTTCCCTGTGGATAGCAGGGACCGCAGCTGCCGGGCTGAGGGGAGATTTCCCTTTAGCTCAACTGCCTGGGTCCCTGTTGAGTGACGCTGGAGGCCCGGGTTCGAGTCCCCGACGGTGGGGGGTCGACCTGAGGCAGCAGCGGCGAGGGCGCCCACGTGAACCCCAGAGCGTTACAATAATATAGTTAACCAAAATTAAAACTCCTGGCTCCTTAAACATATGATGTGAACGAATTTACTGTCTATTCCTTTATATGTGTTGTACTGTATATAATGAGTTATATGTCATCACATAGTATAAAGAATTTATTTTTCTTTGGGACGTTCTCATTTGTTATCTAATGGGTGGTGTAATGGCTTTTTGTGTCATCAGAAGGATTTAAAGTACTCTAGGTCAGTGCTGAAGAGAGGAGTGGATTTACTGCTTGAAGGAGGAAAGGTTGATTAGCTATAGAAAATAAACCAACGGATGTCAATAGAATATCTACTTCCTGGAAAGAAATGTCAGGAAGTGCAAAATAACACAAAAAAGAGCTGCATTATATTTCTGTAGTTGTTATAACCATTAATTCTTAATGGAAAAATGCTACAAAGTATATGAAAGTAAATTAAACCATGAAACTAGTCTACAATTGCTGCCAACAAGCAATCCTGACAGAAACATTATCTCTCTGACCCTACCCCATACATCTCAATTCAAATAATTAAAAAGCAAGTATTGTAATTTTTGGGTTATATTTATGCTTACTTTCCCTAAACAGTGCACAAAACTAATGACAATCTTGTATTTGAATGTGATTATTTTTTATTAACTTTGGCATGGGCTAATTGCTTTCTTTTGTCTGACTGGGGGTTAGTGAGCTTTTCCATTCAAAGGGATAACCTTCAATTAAAAAAACATTTGATGTTTTCTGTAATAAATGCTTCTAGTGCTGAAATGAAATCTGCCTTTGATCGTTTAGTCATAGTGAAATGTGGTTTTGTCTTTTGTAACAGAATGGGTGGTGATGGTGTGGTGCTCATGGAATGCTTGTGTTTTCTGAAAATATTTAATTTGTCTTGATGCATTATTGCCAAGTTATTAGATTAAAACAGATTTTAAATTGCTACATTCTCATGAACTAAAAAGCCATTTAGCAATGCAATTTGAAACTCCTTAGATAGTTTTATTACAAATCATCTTTTGTGTTGCATGCAAAAAATTAGGTTGTTTTTCTGTTAAGTGGTAGACACACATGTTCAACATGTTTGTTATAGCACCAATACCATTCTGCAGATTTTCTAAAAAATAAATAAATCTGTGAGAGTTTATTGAAATTATTGTTTTTTCATTAAATTAACTTCTCCATTAATGCAGTGCCTAGTCCAGTCCCCAGTGAGTCAACGAAAGCCACACCATTTGAAGACCGAATCTTCCTCTACTGGAAAGAGCCCTTGGAGCCAAATGGCATCATCACTCAGTATGAGGTAATCATGGTTGTTAACAAATCGACAGGGAAGATAGGAATGAAAGTCTATTACTAACCAGCTTCATATATTTTTTCATTATGATTATTCTATTTTCATATTACAAATAGTAGAATGATATAGAGGTTGTAAATCTGCATCTGCCACACAAAACATAACATTCTTTTGATAACTTTTTAAAATCTTAAAGTTAACTCCACTACTGCTCAATAAACTCTCTGTGTTTGCTCTTGGATGACATGAACCATGTAGGCTGCATGTATTTGTATTGTTTTGGATGCCTGCATTCTATCAAAATAAGTGTAGAGATTAGATCAAGACATGTTTTCACTGTGAATGGCCATTTCTGCTCTAAACATATTTTGTTTGCCATTTTGACCTTGGTAAAATTACAGAATAAAAAGATAAAGGTCTTAATCTGATCTCTAAGATTGTTTTGATTGAAAAAGACAAAACAAGGTAGAACATTATAGCTAGAACACTTAAAACAAGACAGACCCAATAATAAGCTAGCTATTATTAAATATAAACATTCTACAATTTGTCTTTGTTTTTATTTCCCAGAACTGACTTGCCATGAACATTGAAATGTTGTTTAATGTATTTGGAGTAAGGGAATATTAGAACTTCAACGTCTAGTTGAAATATTTAATTTAACTAGCACTTGGAGTTCACTTTCTCCAGTTACATACTGTTATATGTATTGGAAATAGCTATCAAAGTGTCTTAAGAATGTAGATACAGTAAGTAACACCTGGCTACTGTCAACATTGACAGTTCACAGGAAGCTTCATAGCAAGAAAGGAACTGGGGTGTTTACTGAGTTGTAGTGGGTCTGAGATGCACTTATCAAAGGAATCAGATGGTTTACATTGCTTAAGTTCTGGGTAAATGAATTAAGTGTCATCATCAGTCCAGGAGTACAGCATAAAAGGGCAGATAGACAAAGTCGGGAAGGGAGAGACAGACAGAAGGTGGAAGCTTCTTGTTCCAATCAGCCTTTAAGATTGAAGTTAAGTATTTAAACTGTTGAGAGAGCTTGCTATTATGTTGTGGTTAGGAAACTCTGATTTCCTATATAGATAATCCCTGGGCTGAAAACAGACTCTTCTGGTTAGTGGATGCATTTTTTAGATTAAGTATAGCATTCCAAGTTGTATAGAGAAATGTAACTGTAGGTCAAATTCTGTTTCGTTTAGAAGGCAGCTTTATCTCTTCTGTTGGCCTTTGTATGTGTTGTACAGGATTTGAATACTTGGTAGGAGTATGAGGTTTTCATGTTGGTCAGGACATAGGCCTCTGGGATGCCTTGTTTGTAGGTTTGTAAGTAACATAACATTTATGTTGTGTGTTTTGTACTTTGTTATTATTAATAAATATCCGTTTAACCCAGTGTGCCTGATTTATTATTCTTTTCACCAAAGCTGTGCCAGAGAACCAAGAACTCAGGTGCCTCTAATTATACCAGCCAATCGGGTATATTTTTGTAAAATATTTACATTTCGGAGGTTGTGATTTTCTGTTTTACTTATTGACCAACCCAGTCAGTCATTTCCGTTACTTCCCTTTCATTTCCGCACTCAATTTGTAACAATATCAAAAACAGGATTTGAACATGTTTGGCACCAGCAACTGATTAGAAATTAGTCATTGGTTTTCATTCTTAGCTCATTTTATAATTATTCATTGTTCAAACAACATAATCCATCCCTTAATGTTGTGTTCCTGTTGTAAAACTAGTAGAATGTTTTGAATGTATTCGGAATATGAAATATGTGATTGCTGTATTTTATGTTTCCATGCAGATTAGTTACAGTAGCATTAGATCCTTTGATCCTTCAATCCACTTGTTACGGCCTCCATTGACAGTGGCTCTACCCTGGAACAGCACTCATCACGTGTTCTCCCAGCTTCACCCTGGGACCACTTACCAGTTTGTCATCAGAGCCAGCACAGTGAAGGGTTTTGGGCCGCCAACTGTTCTGAACGTCACCACCAACATTTCTGGTACACGTTTCCTTCATCTCTTAAAGACCTGCCACGTGTAAGGTGGCATTTGTTCTGCCACGAACATGTCAGAACTGGAGCAATTTTGCCAGAAAGAATCATCGAATATTTATGGTTGTGAAATTTAAGCTCCGAAAAAGTGATAGAAACCAGATCAAAAAATGACAAAAAGTAATTCAACAAGTGATTTACTGGCAGCAGTAATTGTAGTCAAAGGTGTTTCCACCAGGTACAAACATAGTGTAATTTGCTGACTGCATAGGCATTTGGTCCCCTTATTAATTTAACTATTAACAGGATATTAATGACAGATTTCAATAAAATAAGGTCTGATTATATATATATACACACATTACTTGTAATGTATAACTGTGAAATTATTGGAAGGTGTGGTATAATTTAAACACATCGCACATTATATAGTTATGGTAGTATATGTGTATGTCTGTGGTACAAGGTTCTTTCAGAGGAAATAAAATTCAGTGAATCTCAGTTATGAACATGAAGTTTAATGTTTTCATCTTTAAAAATTTAGCAGCCATGGACAGCTATTCTATCTTTGTTAGGGATCGTCACCGAGTCATTGACTGAATGCAAGTCACTGTGTACTTGTATTCAGCAGAATAGAAACCTTCAGGTGATTCTGCCTTACGGCCCAGGATATTTACACCCATGATTGGTAGTACTGTATGTGTAAATGAATATTGAAAGGCTGCTTGCTTACACATATAATAGTATTTGTATACAAACCTTTTCATTAATTTATGTCAAAGTAAATGTCGCTCGTTTCTACTTACACATGCGATGTAGGGTAACCACTTATCGAACTTGGGATTTTTAAGCTTCTGAGTGTTCTCTGCTTATGACTGTTACTTGCAGCAACAGCCTTCCTGCAGGTATCCTTGTACCCCAGGCTCTGTAGCTTTCATAATTCCTTATTTAAAAACAGAGACCAAATTATATAATGTTCAGAGGAGGGATTGGCAAGATTTGGGGGGCTTGTCAGTATCAGGGTCGGTGTACCAGAAGACATTTTAAACCTAAATTATTTAAATTAATAGCAATTTCTATAATCTCTATAAGATTATATAGATGTGTGGTCTGCATTCAGAATAATCAACGTATGCACATCAAGAGTAGTAGCTTTTGGACTCACTCCTTAATAGCATGTGATGGCAATAGCTTGCTAAAACAAGAAAGCAGAAACGGTTACATTTCTTTTCGAATAAGCCTTAAAATGTATAACATTTATCTCAGCAGAGTAAATGGAATGTAAGATTGTTGCCTGCTATTTTAGCATTATAATTGCATATCTAAAGAAAATTAAATAAAGCAGCAGCTGCTGGATTGTCAGCATTAACAAATATGAAGTCTGCTCCTGGAATTGATTTCAGTGCTATTACAGAGTGCATTAATAAACCCAAGTTAGTTTATTTTATAATAGTGCTTTTAAAGAGTTCTTACTTGCAAGGATGGGGTGAGCTTTTGTTTAATCTATGTATTTGTGACATTATTTTTAAATGTAAGCTTTCAAAAAACAGCCCTTTCCCCTTTTTGTTATGACCTTTTAATGCTGAATAAATGAGTAAAATTGCTGTTTTTTCTCTGTGTGTTTACAGCCCCCACTTTAATGGAATATGAAGGCTTTGAAGCTTTTTTGAATGAGACTGCCACCACCATCACTGTGCTGCTCAAGCCTGCGCAAGCGAAAGGTGCCCCTATCAGGTATGTGTAAGAGCAGAGTGCAGTTTGTACTTTAGATTGGCAAGTTGCCTAGCAGCTAATAAAGTGCTTCATTTCCAAGCTGTATTCGTCTGACATTGCTGTCAGGAGGTTTGTTTTCTTGGTAAGGCAAGGTCTACAAATAGACTTGTACTTAATAGCAGAAAAACTCTTCTGGGAATTTCGATATTCAAGACCAGAATTACCCCCCCCCCCCCCCCCAAATCTCTATTTGATTTGCTGTTGTTGGCCTCTACCATTTCATTTCATTTCCCTTCCCTCTATCAGTATCTGTGGAGATATAGAGTCTGAAGGTACTTGTCATAAAAAGGGATTTGAAGTGAACTCTGGGCTCTCTGATTCAGTAAATCAGCTATTATGTGGTGTCCTTCATATATGATTGGGAAAAAGGAAATGTTGATTATGTGTATAGAACAAACAAAACAATGAGGATGAATATAAAGTATATAGTTTTTCTTCCTCCTATACAGACCCATTCTCTGAAATCATGATGTAGCAATTATACTCTTGAATAAACAAAACTATGATCCTCTCTCACGACTGCTTTGTATTTTAAGGTTTAACATCTGTGATGCTTAGAAAAAACAATATATTTAATTGTGTGAATAAATTTGCCAAAAACTTTTTGATAGTGACTGAATGATTGGATATGAAAAATTAATTTAGGACTAGGGAGACCTTAATTATAAAAGTAGAACAAAACTAGGATGACAGATGGAGAGGTCATGAGGTTTGTGTACAGTAGATATTTACTCTGTGTGAAAAGTGAAATAAAGCTATGAAACCAAGCTCAAAACGCAAATGGATCTTTCAAACAATCTGCAGTATCACTTGTATGACATATATAGAAATTAAGAATTGATCAAATACAATGATTTAGCAGTTGCACTGTTGCACTGCTTTGCATTCCCCAGATGGTATACAATGAGATTGAAATGGATTGTGTAACTAGTAGAAGCTTTATAATATAAATTGGAATGTACAAAAAATGAAAATCTCAGCATTTGAAGACTTCATTGGTGACAACTTCATTTGATCAGCCTTCAAAGTTATGGAACAAACCTGAAGCATACAATTAATTAAGGGCTCCTTCTTACAGATAAAAATTCTAATTTTCATTAAAGTACCACTACATCTGTGGTTTTCAAAGGTAATGTGTTAAATAGAGCGGGAACCTTTTATCATGATCTTTCCTGAATTAAATAATTCTGCTTATTTTCTTTGGAACAGTTCTGGCACAGGTCTCTGTTATGGTATGCCATGGAACATGCATAGCAACCAGTACTGGATCAAATACTTTTTGTTTGTTTGGAAGTTGGCTCAAGATGTTAAAGTAGTTTGGATGTTTATCATTTTATTTGCAAAAAGTAATAAAATTCGGTAACGTCAGTGACCCACAGCCTTGGATGCTCTTCCCACAAGTACAGTCATCACATATCAAGTCACATCCTCCTATGAATGAATCACTCTGAGGAGGTGGTGTACTATATTGGTCTAGCTCTTATTTCAGGAGCTATTTCCCAGGTCCAGGTATAACTGTTAAAGAGATGGCAGAGAGCTGGTTGCTTCAGTGCTCTTGGGTCTTGGGTTTTTGAACCTTTAGTATTACTTCTAACATTTTTTCCATGGCGATGGTATCATGTTAAGCATTCACAGTCATTACTTTCCTATGTATCCATATACTGTGTAGAACCAAGAGGGGTTTGAAGTTAAATATTTACTCAAATTAGATGGGCCCAGTTATGTTTTAAGACCATCTATAGATCTATAGAGGTATACATCTTATTTGAAAGTTTTGTATAAAAAAGTGAAGCTTTTGTATCCACTTTACAACTCTTGTTATTAAATACGAAGACCTGTTTTCTGCGTGTGCCTTGTATTGTTGCATGACGTTGCAATCATGCTTTCAGATAGGAAATTATTTTTAGAATCTTCACAATCAACCCCATTCTAATAAAACTTATAATTGGGAAGAAAATTAAAAAGCTAAAATCTTAATTCTATTTAAGAGTGTGCTATGCCAACATGAAATTGGTTCAGATGTAAAAATCATTTGAAAGTTCACAAAATTAGTGTAGTGATCTCTGTATCTCATAACAAACAAAACTTTAGAATAAATACATTTTTTTCTATAAGATTAGATATCTCAGGAATCCCAAGCCACAACTCACACAGCAATGTGATGAACATACAGAAAAAGGAGCTTTTGTAACAAGTCACGGAGGATTGAAGTGGTGGAGAGGCACAAATCAAGTAAATACCATACATTCTTAATGGCGTCCATCATTAAGAGATGGAATATGCATCACCCCTCCCTGACACTAAGGAGATCTGGCTGGTCATCCAAAGCCACAAAGGATTTGCAAAGTTCTATGCCTGAGAGTCGCCACCTGACATCAACAATATCCTGGTCCCTACACAAATCTGACCAGCATGGTTGAGAAACAACAAATAAGTGAACTTCTTCACTATTGTAAACGATTTATCTTAAATCTTGTGCGAGTTGTGCGAATTTTTTAATGGACAAGAGACCAAAATCAAACGTTTCTGTGAATGCAAAGCATGATCTGGCTCCAGCCCAATACAGCACGTCTACTGAGTCAGCACCATCCCGACTGTCCAACATGAAGGCGGAAGAATCTTATGAGCATTCTCTCTTCAGCAGGCGTTAACTGATGAGACATCTGAAAATATTTACAAAATAATTTTACAAAAATTTGTACAAGTAATGTACAAGTAATGAGTTATTTTAGACCTTTTGCAGAGCCCTTGACATTGTGATGTGAGGGAGCCCTTCCTGCTCACTAGTCACTGTAATGACTAATGGTATGTGATGCATGAGGGAATAAAGATAGATTGTGCATTTCACTGCCGAAATAATAAACATGCAAAGTTAATAAGGAGTTAATAAGTAGTATTTGTCAGCAAAGTCTCGAAAAGCAATAATTCTATGAGATTAAAAGAGATGTTTTAAAAGCCTGCTTGATTTCAATGTAATAGGGCCACTTCACTTCACCGGATGTTTTGTTGCCTCATTCTTAATCGCAGACAGTAATGTCAATATGACACTGCACATACCTGGAAATTTCCAATCTTGTGATGCAAATTTGAGGTTTTACAAGTTACTGTGTACATTTTACTTTTATTGTTTTTTTAAATGCACTTAATAATGCTGATTCTACCACTGAAATATAAAAATAGCGTTCCCCTTCAACAGTCTCTCAGCTGATTTAAAACATTGCTTGAATAAATTCTTAAAAATTCAATGTATTATAGTTTCTGATTTGAACATTTCTGTGACATTTTTCACATTCTTGAGTATTTTTTTCTTGTTTGACTTTTGAAAATAAAATACAGCAGACATATACTTCATTAATTTCAAGGTAATAAGTTTAGGTGTTTGAGACTGATCCGAAGCAATCAGCTTGCCATCTGTTTAGGTAATTTGTAGCAGTTTGTCATTGACAAACGATACAGAAATGAAGAAGTCTATTTTGGTGGAGTGGACAGATTTTGTGTCCATCTGTGCCTGTATTATAGTGTGTCACTTGAATTTTAGATCTGTGGTGCTTTGAGCCAAAATAGATGCAATAGCAAGGTCATGAGGTGGGGATAGCTGTCTGCACATTCTGTCACTAATGACATGAAAACTGTAGATTGGTACTGCAGGACTGACCTCAAAACAGTCATCATGTCAGGTCCTGAAACAGCATGCTGCAGAGTTCTGTAACGTAATTCTAGCTTTAGACATAGGAGACGATCACTTAACAGTATTATCAGTGAAAAAACGAATCATTGTAAAGTGCTGCACAGTTATACTTAATTTCTATTCTTAAATTAGTATGGACGAATCAGTGAGGGTTGGAATTTCAGTTTTGAGCCCTTTTTTTTTTCAGAAAAAAGCACTGAACATAAGGCCGTCAATATTTAAATATGAAGTTCTTCATAAACTTCAGAGATGCTTTTGCATATGTATGAATTAATTCAGAAAGCATTTTTAATGTTTTGTTAACATTGATGTCCATCACTTGCACTTCATTTGCAATGCTTGTAGAGCTTCGCTTCATGTTATTTTCCCTTTCCTATTATTCTGGGTTTGACTCTTTTGATTACTGGATAAACCTGGGTAATAGTAATACATTCAGTCTGACTGCTGCCACATCTTTAAAGACCCTTTTACACTGACATACTCTACCAGGATCAGCTCATACTTTGGGTTGTGACATTCCAGTGAGTTGAGTATAGTTTTACACTAGTTTAAATGACAAAACCCGTTTCTTTCTTTCTTCTTGAAGAATGTATAGGTATATTTATAGCATTCCATTTCATTTTTATTAGACATTTTCAGAACTGAATTATTTTAGACCTTTTGCAGGGCAACTAAAATTGGATAAGAACACATTACTAAATGGCTTTGGTGCAAAATGTAAAATTGAGAACAGATGAAGTTATACACTCAAAGATAGCTATGGTAAATTGTAAGTTTATGGATGGCAAACAGTAGTGATATTGGTGTTTGCTGATGGAGTAGGTTACCATGTGCACAGGCTGATTTTATGATCTCCAACTATTAAGTAAATTTAAATATCTCAGGAGGATGTTTGTCTTCAGCATTCGCCTCTGGAAAAACTGACACACCCCAGGTGGAGAACCGGTGTGTTTAAAAGATGAGCTCGTTCTGCTCCAGAAAGCAATTTGCTATTTTCATTTGTCTTTCAATGAACTGCCATTAGAGGCACCCCAGTTCTACTGATCTTGTCTGATGAAGAATTAAGTATAGATGAATTTGTCTAGCTGTCAGGTGTATTTTTTATTCTTTATTAATAAAGTAATATAAATAAGAGACTAAATTAAACATGTTTATGGACCCTCGTTGTGTTTTGTTTTCCTGTAGTGCCTACCAGATTGTTGTGGAAGAGCTGAACCCTCACAGAACTAAGAGAGAAGCAAGCTCCATGGATTGCTACCAAGTCCCAGTCACCTACCAGAGTGCGACCAGTGGAGGGTCCCCATACTATTTTGCTGCAGAGCTCCCACCTGGCAATCTTCCTGAGCCTTCTCCATTTACAGTAGGAGACAACAAAACCTACCATGGGTTTTGGAATCCACCTCTGGCCCCGAGGAAAAACTATAACATCTACTTCCAGGCTGTTAGCAGTGTAGAAAAGGTAATTAATTTATCTTTTTTTTTTGCTATGCTTGAAAGGTGTTGTAATTCCAGTACTGATTGGATTTAGATTGCTGTTTGTTGAGATTCAACAGATGGTGTCTTCTCACTAGAACTTTTTTCAATTTAATTAACTTCACATTAAGCTTTCCCACTTTTTCAGGTGATGGGTGG